AGAAGAAGAGGAAGAAGAACAAGATGGGGCTAGGGTTATTTTGTTTTAATTCCCTTTTCTTTAACTTGTTTTAAAACCTAAAAGCCCAAACCCTTGTTCTTGAAGGTGGCCCAACTAAATAAAACAATGACCCAAAACAATAAGCCCAACAATTATAGTTTAAAAATCAAATAAAACCCACCACCCTAAACAAAATAGTTAACTTAAACTCTAAAACCCAAGAATAATAATTCAAAGAAAGTAGAATTTATGAAGGAAAATCCTAAAACCCCTGAATTTAAGATTTAACTAAAAATCTCCTACACAGGTTGAGAACTTAAATTATCTTAATCCAATGAAAGTAAACTTAATTCTAATTTAGCCAAAAATTAGAATTTCAAAGTTAGAAGATCCAAGAATTAAAGTTATCAACTTAGGGAAAAATCCAAAGACACTATTTATCTCTTAAAATAAACGACTCAGAGAACGCGGGGCGTTACAGACAGCTTCTTTTTCTCTGCTTCGTTCTACTACTGCGCTGAAATGGGTCGTATTCTTCTTTTTTCCATTTTATTTTCTTCACCCATTATGAGCTAAACCCCATCTTGGGGGAGACTCACATGCTGTAACTATTTGATACTGAACCTCTAGCTACTACATCTATTTTTTAATAAAATTGTTTTGTATTTCTTCAATCTTGCATGACATTGTTGGCCACTCTGTTGCGTTTGCTAGCTACTGTATTGACTCGGGAGAGCTTATGGGTGCCGATGTGCTTTATTCGTGATTAGCGCTTTTCTATAGCTTTAAGGATACTCGGGAATGGGGTCCCCTAATCATGCCTAGGGCTTGCATTTATTGCTTGAGTATTTAGCAACGGAACTTGTACTTACTCATGTTTGGGGTGTCTCGGAAGGGAACCGAGTCGAGCTAGGCACTAATGGAGGCTAGTAAGCTAGATGGTAGGTTAATAACTTGTGAAAGTATGCTGAATCTCCCCCCCCCTTTCCATATCTGTTATCTCTTCATTATCGTTTTTTGTGTTAGAGCTTTTTCTTGTTGATAGCTTCAATAATGGTGTCTGCTGCAAGCATCTGTTGTCTTGTCGTTATTTTATTTCTGTTAGTTAATTTCCATACACCAAACTCTTTATATTTTTCTGTGTTGGTAATCTACACATATAGTTAAAATATTATCTAAAAATCCCTATGGATACGACCTCGTTATGTACTACAACTGACGATTTCGTGTATACTTGCACGTGTTGTCAGCACAGTTGTATGGATGCAACAAGTTTTTGGCATCGTTGCTGGGGACTTTTGTGATCTTGTTTTAACATTGATATTTGTAGATACAGTGCTAAAGTGAGTTTTCTTATTGTCACATTTTAATTTTCCTGTGTGTTTTTGTGAGGTACATGAACGAGTGGCGAAGGATTAGAGTATCTTATAGACCACGAAATAGAGTGCACTTTCCACAGAAATATTCGAGAACAAGGCGACAACAAATGGCAGCAAACATAGATAGAATGAATCCGCCAGTTCAGCCTAACGCACCTATAAGACCGAATGTGAGGATCGAGGAAATAGTAGATGGGGCTCCTGTCACTACTAACCCTGAGGGAGCAGTGCCCCTTCTCAATGTTGTATTGTTAGCAGACGACATCAACAGGGAAATCAGAGCATATGCAGCTCCGACATTTTACAATTTCAACCCAGTTATCAAGGAGCTAGAAATTGAAGCTTCCAAATTTGAGCTGAAACCAGTGATGTTTCAGATGCTCCAAATAGTGGGTCAGTTCCATGGACATGCTACCGAGGACCCGCATCAGCATCTGAAATTCTTTATGTGAGTTTGCAATTCATTCAAGGATGAATGATTAAGCAAAGAAGTGCTGAGGCTTAAGCTATTTCCATATATCCCTTAGAGATGAAGCCATAACATGGTTGGAATCCCTTCCTTCAAAATCAATCACAAGTTGGGATGATTTGGCCGAAAAGTTCTTGATGAGATACTTCCCCTCAGCAAAAATGCGAAATATCTTAGTGAGATTAACAATTTTCAGCAATTTGCTGGAGAATCAGTCTGTGAATCTTCGGAGCGTTTCAAGCGACTATTGCAAAGATGCCCTCACCATGAGATCGGAAGATGCATCCAAATTGAGAAATACTATAAAGGCTTGGACGATGCTACGCGCTTAGTAATTGATGCGTTCGCAAATGGGGCTTTGCTAGCAAAACCTATGCTGAAGCATTTAATATCTTGGAAAGGATATCGTCGAACAATCACTCATGGTCTGATCCTAGAGCTGTTCAAGGAAAAGCAAGCGAGGGACTAGTTGAATCTGAACCATATACGACATTGAATTCAAAGATTGAAAATCTGACAGACTTGGTAATGAGAAGCATGACGCAGCAAAGTACAGTGGGAGTATCAGCTGGTAAAGCTAATGTTAGTCAAATCTAAGGGATTTCTTACTCCTTCTATGAATGAGATCATCATTATAACAATTGCCCTTGCAATCCGGAGTTGGTTTACTATGTTGAGAATCCACATAACAGCATAAATAACCCATATTACAACACATATAACCTCGGTTGGAGAAATCACCCCAATTTGAGTAGGAGTGGCAATTAGGGAGGAAATAATGTTGGCACATCCAACGGTCTAGCATACCAACAGAAAGGGAATTATCCCCTAGGATTTGCTAATCAAGGTTAGGTGGTAGAATAGAAGCCCGCAGAAGGAACGATTGCGTCATTGGAAAAGTTGATTAAGCAATATATGGACAATCATGACGCTACTATGTAAAGCCAGACTGCATCATTAAGGAACTTAGAGTTTCAAGTATGACAGTTAGCGACCGATTTGAAGAGCAGACCGATTGGAGCTTTGTCGAGTGATACGGAAGTGCCAAAAAGAGACGCTAAGGAACAATGCAAGGCCGTCATACTGCGAAGTGGGAAAACATTACCTCCGATACACCCAAATGCTTCAGCAGCGATCAAAGAGCCCACTCAAGCTGATCAAGTAAAAATTCAGCCAGAAAAAGACAATTAGCCAACAGAAGAAATTGTACCGACTCCACCAGACGAGATAGTTGAGCAACTAGAGGAAGTTCAGAATACGTTCAGTCAATCAGTTAACCCAGGAATTGCTAAGATGCCGAAAGTAGGATTAACAAGACCAGAGTGCCCAAGAAAAGAAAGTAGGCAGAGCATGATAATGCTCCAGCAGAATATAGGTCACCACCACCATATCCTAAATGGTTGCAAAAGAAAGAGCAGAATGTTCAATTTAAGTTCTTAAATGTTTTGAAGTAACTGCATGTGAATATACCGTTGGTGGAAGTTCTAGAGCAAATGCTAAATTATGTGAGATTCCTGAAGGAGATACTCACAAAAAAGAGAACGTTGGGGGAGTATGAAACTGTAGCAATGACCAAGGCCTGCAGCATCATACTCACGAGCAAAATTCCTGCAAAGCTGAAAGATCCTGGGAGTTTTACCATACCAATTTCAATTGGAGGACAAAAGATAGGACTTACCTTGTGTGATTTAGGCACCAGCATCAATCTCTCATGTCGTTATCAATTTATAATAAGCTGGGCATCGGAGAAGCAAGACCCACAATAGTAACATTGCAGTTGGCGGATCGATCCATCACGCATCCTGAGGGAAAAACTGAAGACGTTCTGGTACAAGTCGACAAATTTATTTTCCCTACTGACTTTATTATTTTGGATTATGATGCAGATAAGGCGGTCTCTATTATCTTTGGAAGGCCATTCCTAGCAACTGGTAAAGCATTGTTATATGACAAGGGAGAGTTGACAATGCGTGTGCAGAATCAAGAAGTGAAGTTCTCAGTGCATGATTCCATGAAGTTTCCTGCTAAATCCGAAGAATGCTCAGTGCTAAAGATTCTGGATGAAGTATTAATGGAGGAATTGGAAACAGAAGTTATGCTAGAGCATTTAAAAGCGGGTGACGCTGGAAGCGTTGTTGACAAACGTGAAGAAGAACACGAGGATATCCAGTTAGAATGCATGAATGCCAATGAGGGATTGGTGAAGCGAATGTATGAGTCCTTAGATCTCACAAACCTTGAGCTCAGATTACTGAAGCCATTTATTGAAGAGCCACCAGTGTTGGAGCTCAAAGCATTGCCGCATCAGCTGAAATATGCTTACCTGGGTTCGTCAGAAACATTGCCAATCATTATAGCAGCGAACTTGCCCTTGGATGAGGATCAGATGCTGTTGAGTGTGCTTATAGCACATCAGAGAGCAATCAGCTGGACTATCATTGATATCAAGGGGATAAGCCCCAACTTTTGTATGCATAAGATAATGCTAGAGGATGATTGTAAGAACTCCATTGAGCCCCAGCGCAAACTAAACCCAACTATGAAAGAGGTGGTGAAGAAATAAATCATCAAGTGGTTAGACGCAGGCGTCATATACCCAATTTCAGACAGCGAATGGGTAAGTCCAGTGCAGTGTGTGCCTAAGAAAGGGGGTATGACTGTAGTGGAAAATGCAAAGAATGAGTTAATACCCATGAGGACAGTGATCGGATGGCGTATATGTGTGGACTACTGCAAGCTGAACAAAGCCACAAGGAAAGACCACTTTCCTCTCCCTTTCATTGATCAAATGATGGATAAACTTGTAGGCTAGGAGTACTACTGTTTCTTAGACGGATACAGTGGGTATAACCATATTACAATAGCCTCGCAAGATCAGCAGAAAGCGACATTTACGTGTCTCTACGGAACATTCGCTTTCAGACGGATGCCATTCGGGCTTTGTAATGGCCCAGCAACATCCCATAGGTGCATGATGACCATCTTTTCTGACCTGGTAGAATCAGTAGTTTAGGTGTTTATGGACGACTTTTCAGTCTTTGGAAAGTCATTTGCAGAATACTTGTATAATCTGAAGAAGGTGCTACAGAGATGTGAAGAAACAAATCTAGTATTGAACTGAAAAAAACTGTCACTTCATGGTACAGGAAGGAATTGTGCTAGGGCACAGAGTCTCCAGCAAAGGCATAGAAGTAGATAAGGCGAAGATAGAGGTAATAGAGAATGATAAAGAATTTAACTTCACATCTGACTGTTTGCAGGCGTTCGAAACACTGAAACATGCTCTCACCCATGCTCTAATAATGATAGCGCTAGATAGGAACCAGTCCTCCGAATTAATGTGTGATGCCAACAACTATACTGTAGGACCAGTCCTTGCTCAACGCAGAGGGAAGCTACTGCATCCGATATATTATACCAACAAACTTTGATAGAGGCGCAGATCAACTACACCACCACGGAAAAAGAATTATTAGTAGTGGTTTCCACCTTTGAGAAGTTCAGGGCATATTTGGTAGGGTCAAAGGTGATTGTCTACACGGACCATGCAGCTCTGAAGTACCTACTAACGAAGAAGGACGCTAAACCGAGGCTAGTCCACTAGGTATTACTATTGTAAGAGTTCGATATAGAGATCAAGGACAAGAAAGGAACAGAAATCTTGGTTGCTAACCACTTGTCCAGGTTGCCCAGTCCAGAAAGCGCTAAGCATGAGACTGAAATTAGAGGAACTTTTCCAGACGAGCAAGTGTTAGAAATGGAAGCCCTGAAGGAAGAAGAGGAACCATGGTTCGCAGATCTAGCCAACTACATTTCCAGTGGAATTTTACCAGCGGACATGAACAAGCAACAGCTAAAAAGGTTTCTGTACGATAGTAAATTATACCTGTGGGATGACCCATACCTTTATAGGATCAGCCAAGACAAAGTGATTAGAAGATGCGTTGCCAATGCTGAAGCACGACAGCTGTTGGCTAAATGCCACTCTGCACCATATGGTGGACACTTTGGAGGGCAATGCACAACAGCAAAAGTTTTCCAGAGCCGATATTTCTGGCCCACCATTTTTAAGGATGCATACGAGCTAGTACAACATTGTAATGAATGTCAAAGAGTTGGAAATATTTCGAAGAGGTCAGAGATGCCTCTTACATACATCTTAGAGTTGGTGTTTTTCGATGTATGGGGCATGGATTTTATTGGACCATTCCCTCCATCCAATGGAAACCTTTTCATTTTGTTGGCAGTCGACTATGTATCAAAATGGGTTGAGGCAGTGGCATGCACCAACAGTGATGCCAAAGTGGTTGCCAAGTTTTTACACAAGCATATATTCACAAGGTTTGGCGCACCCAGAGCTATTATCAGTGACGAGGACTCCCATTTCATTAACAAAGCTATAGCATTTCCCCTTGCTAAGTATAATATCAGGCACAAAGTATCCACAGCGTATCACCCCTAATCGAACGGGCAAGCGGAAATGTCTAATACGGAAATCAAGACCATTTTGGAAAAGGTTGTTAATACAAATCAAAAGGATTGGGCAATGAAGTTAGATTATGTAATATAGGCTTATCGCACAACCTTCAAGACGCCTCTGGGCACGTCACCATACAAATTAGTCTTTGGAAAACCCTGTCATCTTCCATTGGAGCTGGAGCATAAAGCCTACTGGGCTGTTACAAAGCTAAATGTGTACTATGTTGCAGTAGGGGATGTTCGCCGCTTACAATTGCTAGAGCTTGAGCAATTTCACATAGATGCATATGAGAATGCAAAATTATACAAGGAAAAGACAAAGCGATGACACGATGCGAGAATCAATCCTAAGAAGTTTGAAAAATGACAGCAAGTATTGCTTTTCAATTTAAGACTTAAACTCTTCCYAGGAAAACATAAATCCAGATGGTCATGCCCATTTTTGGTCTTGCATGTATTTCCCCATGGAGCAGTTAAAGTACAAGAAATGGATTTAGGAAGAGAATTAACAGTGAACGGGCAAAGGCTGAAGCAATTCTTTAGAGGAAGAGTGGTGAGAGATGCTGAGCTCACCACTTTGCCACAGACTGAGATATCAACAAAGGAATAAAGGGAGCAGAATTTATTGTTTAATCATTTTTATTGCTCCAAAAACTTTAAATTAGAAGTTTAGGTATTTAGTTATTTCGTTTGCATGTTTGAACTTTAATTTGTATCAATTTTCTTTTTGAAAGGGGAAGCCATTAAAAATCTAGATTGAGTGGACTACATTCAAAAGTGGGGTGCAGTAATGACGACGTGATGTTGTTGACGCGAAAGGATAAGGCAGGAAGGAGCGTTTGGTCGTGGCAGACATGCAGGTGTGTATTCATGGCGATTTCGGCTCCCAAGGAGAGAGGTAAGTAATGATTTCGATTTTGGGGAAAAGATAGTATTATCAAGATGTGGGGGATATTTTTTCAATTTTTGAGGGGAATTTTTCAATTAAAATTAATTAATGAAAATCGTGGGAAGATATTCCTTAATGGGGGCAACCATTTTCTGTTTCCTTTTAAGACCCACATCTCCCACGCTCTTCTCCCCCCACTCTGCGCCATAACTATCTCCTTCTTCCGTTTAAGTTCCCTAGATCCTCTCCCTTCTTCCCAAACACGACACGCCAAAAACCCTAGCATCACCATGCCTCGATACAAGCATAAGGCAAATTGCAAGAGGGCTTCGAAGCTGGAGCTCTCTACCAGTTTAGGGTCAAGCGGTGCATTCAAGGAGGACGTCGATACGATTCCACTACCGGAACTCTCTGAGGAATGGAGCCTTGGTCAGCAAACCTCGACAAGTTCGGAGCACACTTCAACTACTGAAGAGCTTCTGCCATCTCCTCCGCCTGTCACTAGCCCTCGGGTAAATAATCAAGACCCTGCCATCCCTCCCTCTCAAGCACAGCCAAACGCCCCTTTGCCCACTAGC